CGCAGCCGGATGTAGCTGGAGCGAAGAGCCCCAAGGAGTGCCTGGGTGATGGGGCAATAAAGGCGAGAAAGCCTGGAGACGCTCTCCCCAATACTTATTCTCAAAGGAATGTGGTCTCTAAACTGCCAAGAGTGACATCCACTAACAACTGAGTCAGGGCTTTCGGAACAAGTCAGAGCCACAGATAGTCAGATACTTTGGACTTCTGAAACACGCGGCCCGTAGTGCTGGAGTTAAACTAAATTTGGGTCACTGGAAACACACCTGACTTGCTATTACAAAGGAAAAGATGTCATCATTCTTAAAATACTTCCCATCGGGCGAATATTGGAAAGTTTGGGTTGGTGAATGCATCTGTTGTAGCAATACTTTTGTGATCAGGAGAAACTAAATACAGTCCACATAAAAATGAACACCGTAACATCTCACCCAAAATACAAAATGCATTATTTAATCACTAAGGTCTTTAGTTCACCAAAAAAGCAGTTCGTCAAGCAAGAGCCAAATGTTGTATTTTGAAGAACTATTTTTGAAGAATGCAGTAGTAGGGGAAAGATGTAGGTCTGAAAAACACTGTGTGATACAGTTTTTTAAAAGCAACAAGTTAGGACAACCACAGAGATAAGAACGAGATATGCAAATGAAGCTCTTTAAAGCGACCAATACACTCTAAGGCACACTGTTTACACTAGAAATCTAAAAAAGCAGAAGGTAAAGAAAATTATGGCCTCCTGGGGAAGGGTGAGTGTAGGAGAAGCACAAAGAAAATAGACTGCTCCAAGAGCGCCCAGGTTTCACCCACAAACCGGGAAGGTTAGTCAAAATCAAGGAAGGCAGCTGTGAATGGTGGTACCAAAGCCTTGAGCAAAAAACAACATGTGATAGTGAGACAGAAACATGCCATCCAAAACAAGGGAAGAAGTTTAAACAGCTTTCACCACAAAGGCTAAGAGTACATTTTTAAAAAGTTGAAATGTGTGGGAAATGTGGAGGCTATTTACAGTATAATAATCAATAAGGAAAATACAAATACAGCCAAATATAGCACTTGTGTGGGAGTCTATATTGTGACTGGAGGCTAAACTTATTTTGAAAGATATTTGATATTTAAAAGAACAAACATGATTAACTTGATAAGAACAATGATGTTTTTCAATAGGATGCATTAAAATTTCAGTCTCCAATGTGGATATCTGAATAGCCCTTCAAATTGGTAATGCCTGACATGTTTCCCTGAAACCTGACCTTTCTTAGTTGGTACAGTGTGTTCTAGTGTCATGCTGGATGAATTAACAAACAATACTAAAGAGAGAGAGAGAAATCATACTGGCCTACAAAGGCAGCAACATGTCACTGGCTCCAGCAACTCTACTACAGGTGAATTCTTAGAAAAAGAAGGAAGGAGCAGACTAGCCAGCCGCTGGTCAGGACAGACTCGGAGCTAAGAGACAAGAACGCTAAAAACAAGAGTTGTCTAAGACTACAACATGGGAATGAAAATAATGCAAATGTTCCTCCAATAATTTTACACAAATAAATAGGACAAAATGCCTGACTGCCTCAGTCTCATGATGACCTGATCAATGCTAATATAACCTGGAAAATTTTAATCTGAACAGCACCTTTCATTCAGGAATCACTATCTATTCATAAACAAGAAACATAAAAGTATATAATAAGGACTGATATGGCCTTGAGAAAACGATTGAATAAATGAGCATAATGGCATCTGATAATGACTTTATTATAAAGAGTAACAATATAGTAAAAATCATCAATCAGTTAGTCACACACATTTCCCTAAAGCACATTTTTTATCCCCAAATGGTATGTTTTTAAAAATAGAATGGGTAAAATGGCACACAGCTGATACCTAGTGATATGCCATAGTGATGGGCTTTATTACTATATATGCTCATGAGAGTGTGTATATGTGTGTGACCTTCCTCTTCAGTACACTCACTATAGCCACTAAGTATTGGCCAGTAAGACTCAATCAAAATAATAAGAAAGAATAAAGATAATTATATCACCTTCGAAGATCTATTTGAGCATGCGTTACCATGTTGGGGGTGGAGGGGACATTACCTGAATCTACAGGGACAGCTTATTTTTAGCCCTTAAGATGCAAGCAAGTATGGAAAAAAGCTAAAACAAAATAAAATTTATAGATCTTGCTATCAAACTGGAGAATTTCAGCAGCCTCAGTCCTGTAGCACCAGTGCATGGATGCAGTCAAAACAGAGTGCATCAGTCTTCCCTCGTGTGAAAAGGGCATCGAAACTGGCTACACAAAGGAAGTGACCATGAGATATATCAAATACACCAGACTGTTAAAAACTTAACGAAAGCACTGCTGCATGTTTCAGATGTTAGCCAAAGGCATTAAAAAACATTTAGAGTTCTGAATAGTGTACATAAACCGAGAAAGCATTTAGAACCTGAATGCTTTCCGATACTGCAGCTCCTCTGGTGACTGTGGTGACGCAGCAGTCACCATCAGAACGCTTTCTACAGGCATGGTTTGGATTTGATCGTTTTTAATTCAAATACAGTTGGCTATCTCCACTCAAAGCGGCTCCATCTATGTAGCACATGGCTTTTTGTCAACTCTTTGTTTTTGGTTTTAGCTGCAGGTGTTGTTTTCTATATATGAGTTTCTGGGACTATGGTCCGTGTTGGCCATATAAGGATGTCTATTCAAGCCATATGTTTTGCTGTCATGTGTCTCATTTTGTCTGTCTGGGATGTCAGTACTGATTTCCACATCATTTCTTGAATGGACAAACACCAATTTGCTAGAACAGAGAGGAAACACTGGGGTTGCAGCCCAAACAACTTCAACAGAACATATTTTGGGGAGGAAATGCAATATCCTGTAAACATTTGCAGCCTCTTGTCTCATATTATCTATGACCAACATCATGACAACTGCTTACAGTTTGAGAAAAAAGTTTGCATTCTCTGTCTGCATGTAGCTTTATAAGTTACAGCCCACATTTTGGAGGTCATGGAAGGGCATATGCTAACTGACTTACTCTGATATCTGTGGGTTCTGTAGCCAACTTGACCCAGCCTTGAACTTGGGGAAGTTCAAGTGCACCACCTCCTGATTTTCTCTTACCAAAGTCCCCGACTAATCCTACTAGAAGTTATGGGCCCTTGTATGTATTCTTGTAGCAATCTGTGTTTCTCCTTTGTAACAATCATCGAATTCTTAATCAGTTAGCCATTTGAGTGATTATTAGTCAAGCAAACATCTCCCTATCAGGCTGCAAGCCCCACGAGTGCAGAAGTATCGCTAACTGCCATGGATCAAGAACTGAATGCAGTATTCCTGCAATGTTTGCATTTTGACTGCATATAGAGGAGCAAAGAGCCCTTGGTACCATTTGAAACCAATCTTCACCATTAACTGCACAACAGTACATATGTATTGCAGAAGTGAGAAAGCGGAATACTGCAGAAGGTTGTTACATCACTCAATTTTCAATTAATTAAAATTACATAAAAATTACAAGTTAGTTCTTCCCACGCACTTCAAGTGTTACATAGCACATGGCTAGTGGCTCTCACAACTGCACAGTGTAGACTGTAGAACACTTACTTGCCCACTGCAGAAAGGCCAACTGGGCAGTACTTACCTGAAGAACTGTAAAAGATGACTAAGTGAGCCCAGGATCTGCTCCGAAGGAGTCTTACAGGTGCTGACTGGCTTTCAGACATTCTAATGATGTCTGAATGGAGATCATTTTCCATTTTAAAATTAGCCCAAAGATCTGTAATGTTACATGGAATGAAACTAGTGTACCACTGAATACAAATTTAAAGTAACTTTCCAGACATGTCTGCACTTGAGAGGGTCCTGCAATATATCTGCAACAATATGCAGTCATTATAAATGCTACTTGCTATGAGTGCTTCAATACCATATAAGAAAAGGTATAAACCACAGTCACTGCACCCTTCTCTCAGCTTCCTCATGATGCTAACACAAATCCCTTAGCTGTGGATCTCTGTGCAGCTCTAACTGTAGATACCTACTCAAACTGGGAGAGTATCCAGCTACCAAAACCTGGTACACTGTAGAAAAAACATCAGAGGCTGGAAAAGGTTGCAGGAGAGAGCAAAATATAATGATGATGAACTTCAAACCCAGATTTCAAGGGTTTGGGGTTTTACCCCCACCTCAAGTAGGCTGGGTTCAGTTATAGCCAGACTGATAGTTATCAAAATTATGTCCCCTAATTCCTGTGAGGTTGGGTGTAAATACTCAAAGATAACTTGTGATGTTCTCGACAGACAGGTCATTATCACTGCAGTGTTAGCTGTCATGGCTGGCAAGGTGGCTGGGCCTTTACATTGCC